CATCCTCTGCCATCCCCTTCTCCTTTTGCCTTCAATCTTTCCCAGCATCAGGGTCTTTTCCAAAGAGTCCTCTCTTCACATTAGGTGACCGAAGTATCTGAGCCTGAGGTTCATTATCAATCCTTCCAATGAGCAATCAGGGTTGACAGTCAATCTTAAAGGAACTCAACCCTGACTGCTCATCGGAAGGATAATGAAGCTCAAGCTCAGATACTTTGGTCACCTAATGCGAAGAGAGGACTCTTTGGAAAAGACCCTGATGCTGGGAAAGATTGAAGGCAAAAGGAGAAGGGGATGGCAGAGGGTGAGATGGCTAGATAGCATCACTGAAGCAATGAGCATGAAACTGAGCAACCTCTGGGAGGCAGTGACGGACAGGAAGGCCTGGCGCGATATGGTTCACGGGGTCACAAAGAGACACGACCTAACGACTGAACAACAACAAACAATAATGTAAAAAGATGCCGATTTATATAAACCAAACAAGAACTAAGTCTCTATAAGAGACAGTGCACATCAGACAAGAGTTAAAAACACAGAATACAGCTCTTAGGTTTTTCCTATTCCTTTAGAGCGGGGTTTTTACAATTGGGTCCAGCCATCTCATCTGCTCTGCTTTGATGCTGCTCTTCCCCTCTCACTGGCTATACATCGTTTGCCACTGGAGTTTGAAAGCAGTCCATCGAGGAGGCAACTGGCTATCCTTCCCTCTCCAACACCTAAGTCTATTGTCTTCCCATGTGCACATGCATAAAACCTGACTTCCTGCCTGTCCCCAAACAACTCCAACAAAACATTTCTCCAGGCAGCCCATGTTTTCTAAAAGGCAGCTGAGTTGAAAGCAGAGCAAGACAGAAATCCAGCAGGAGCTTCTATCTTGCTTAGCAGCACAAGAGCAACGGTGGTGAGCCTGTCCCTCTTCACTTTCCATACTACAGACTAAATTTATGTATATATATATATATCTTTTATTTATTAATCAAACTTATATTGTACTATAATTATAGGTCTCTTGATGGCTCACAAAGAATACACAATAGAATATACAATAGAATATAAAATAAGTGTAAAACAAAACCTCAACACAGTGCATCACATCAGCTGATAGTATGGCTTTGACTGGATGGCAAATTATGGTAAACAAAAATAAAGCCATTGGAAGAAAACATAACTGTTGCTAAAAACAAGTCTTTAAGTTGAAAGACAAAGGAGTCAGGCAAAAAAAATTACCCCAGAAATTGGACAATGGTGAAGAAATTAAGGATAAAAGAAGAAATTAAGGATAAAAGAGGTTCATCTGAGGGAGCAAATCCAACATACTGCCTGAACAGTATTTCATGTAAACATCAGCTTTGAAGTGGCCCAACCTGCTCAAATTAAGGCCCCTTTTCACTTTGCGGTTTCAAGTTTCCTAAATTCATTCTTTTCACATTTCATATTCCACCTTTAAATGTCTTTCAAAAATGAAGAAAACACAACACTGATTTGAAGCAACTCACTTCTATCTGGAGATGCAGGATAAAAAAAAGAGAATGAAATTAATCTACAGTTCTAGCAACAAATATGTAGCACAAGAAAATAGTGTGATCCTAAGGAAAAATACTCAATTAATTTATTCTTCTTGAAGAAAGAAACATTCTAGTCAACTTTTGAGAGAGCTGCAGCAAAGTGGACATTTGAAGAGAAGGAAATGTATTCCTATTTTATGAGTGAGTCAGCTAAGGTAGTTATTAATGGTATGTTTACATTTCTTGGTAATTAATTTTACTACTATCATAGTATATGGGTAGTTCTCGACTTACAACCATTCATTTAATAACCAAAGTTACAATGGTGCTGAAAAAAGTGACTTACATCCAGTCCTCACACTTATGACCACTGCAGCGTCCCTGTGGCTATGTGATCAAAATTTGGGTGCTTAGCAACCGGCATGTATTTATGACAGTTGCAGCATCCTAGGGTCATGTCATTGCCATTTGCGACCTTCCCAGGGGGCTTCCAACAAGTAAAGTCAATGGGGGAAGCTGGATTCACTTAATGACTGCATGATTCACTTAACAACCATGGTGATTCGCTTAGTGATTGTGGCAAAAAGTAGTAAGACAGGCTGCAACTCACTTAATGACCACATCGCTTAGCAACAGAAGTCCAATTGTGGTTGTAAGTCGAGGACAACCTGTATTTATGACAATTTTCTCTTGTGTTTTTTTTCATGAGTAAGGGCAGTGTGGGAATTTGAACTTTCTGCATAATCCAGGCACTCCAGATCCATTTATGAACTTAGGGAAGTGCTTCTTTTGAAAGAATTCCATACACCAGGCATTTTTATGATTCTCCTAGATAGATTCCTTTACATTTCATAAGGATACACTTCTGACTGTACATCTTCCTACAGTCCATATTTCTCTTGTTTTTCCCACATGGGTCTTTTATAATAAGAGTTATGAAAATTAGAGTTTCTCTCCTGCGTGGATTCTTTTATGTTTCATAAGATTACTGTTCTGACTGAAGTTCTTTCCGCACTCTGTGCATTTATATGGTTTCTCTCCTGTGTGCACTCTTTTATGATATGTAAGATGCGAGCTTGCACTGAAACTTTTTCCACACTCCAGACATTTGTATGGTTTCTCCCCTGTATGAATCCTTTTATGGTAAATAAGTTGGCTGCTGTAAGTGAAGCTCTTTCCACACTCCAGGCAGTTATATGGTTTTTCTCCTGTGTGGATTCGTTTATGTTTTGTAAGGTGACTATTCTGACTAAAGCTCTTTTCACATTCTGTGCATTTATATGGTTTCTCTCCTGTGTGCACTCTTTTATGATATGTGAGGCAACTGCTTTTATTGAAACTTTTTCCACACTCCAGACATTTATATGGTTTCTCCCCTGTATGAATCCTTTTATGGCAAGCAAGTTGACTGCTGTGAGTGACACTTTTTCCACATTCCATGCTTTTATAGGATTTCTCTCTTGCATGTAAGCGTTTATGTCTCATAACACTATCTCTCAGACTAAAGGTCTTTCCACATTCAGTACACTTATAGGGTTTCTCCCCTGTGTGAATCCTTTTATGTCTTGTAAGGTGACCACTCCTAGTGAATCTTCTTCCACACACCAGGCATATATATGGTTTCTCCCCTGTGTGGATCCTTTCATGTATGATAAGGTTACCTCTCTGAGTGAAGCTCTTTCCACACTGAAGACATTTATAGGGTTTCTCCCTTGGGGGAATCTTTGGGGGTAAAATAAGCAACTGTTTCTTATTGAAACTCTTTCCACACTCATACATTTTCTCTTCTTTATTAGAAATAAGATGACTGCTCAAACTGAAATTCTTCCCAGAGTTTAGAAATGTACATGGTTTCTGTTTCATATATAAATTTTGATGAAAAGCAAGAGAGGAGGTATGACTGATACTTTGCCCATGTTCTTGATGTTCATATTGTTCCTTTTTAGTCTGGGTTGTACAATGTTTAGTGAAATCAGATGTCTCTTTGCCTGTTTTGCCACATCCGAGATATTTTTCCTTTTCTTCTCGTTGGTGAATTTGTAATACCAGTATCCTGGGCTCCTTGTAATTCTCATGCTCCTGCTCATAACCTGATTTGAAGAAAATAAGAAAAGAAAAAAAAGTTAATCATGATGTTCATTACAAAAAAATGCGGTATCTGTTATTTCTGCATATCCAAGATTTTGCTGGATGCAGTTTCAGGAATGCCCTACAGTGTATCGTTATGAACCTAAATTCATCAGGGCATTTCAAATGACTTTTGAATTATTCTCCACTTAATTTTATGAGATATTTCTGTTTCTTCCTTGTGATAAAACACTGCTCTCTGGTTGCCTGAAGACTGCATAATCAGGAGCAAGAACAACATGTATAAAGGAATTGTGGACCTCAACTAATGCCTTGACATTTATTATACCAAATAAAATTTCAGGAATGTCTTACACTGTATAGTCTACCTAGTCAAGGTATGGAAGTCCACCAGTAACACCCAAGGACTGTGGGCTTGCAATCGTTGTCCTGATATATAAAAAGGAGAAAAGGTATGGCCCTGCTAATTATAGACCTATTACCCTCCTTAACACAAATAGCAAGGCATCTATAATGGACATTCCAGCACTGGGTGGAACAAAAGTTGTTTGCAGAGTACCTGCAGAAGTCTTGCTTTAGGAAAGGCTGATTAATCACTGCCTTGTACTGTAGCATCTCACTAGAAGACTCCTCCCACCGCACAGTCACCCTCTATATTGATTTCATAGATTTCAAAGCATCATTTGATTCCATCTCCCAGGTTCCATTGCGGAAAGAGTTGGAGGCCTCCTCAAATGACCGGCATCTACTCCAATTAATATGTATGTTACAGAAAGGAATGTCACTCAAAGTAAGATTTAATCCCCAAGGCCATCTGGCAATGCTGGTGAAGCTCGAAAAGCGTCAAGCAGGGCTCCATATGGGCCCTAGTCCTATTTAACTTTTATATTAATTCCAGGACAGGAATCTCCAGAACACAGACATGTATTCCCCAAAACCTGGTGGAAGACACATTTCTGTTCTACTGTATGGAAACGAGGCTGCGATAGTTTTAATAATGCCTTTTGGTCTTAAGAGAACACTGAGCCCTAGCCCAATATTGCAAGGAAAATTGGCT